TGTCTGTATTACATTTTTTCCTTTTTTTCTAATCTGCATTACCAAAATATTTTTCCTGTTTGCATCAATGATATAAATAATTCACTTTTAAATAATATAATAAAAAAATTTTCTACTTTTTTGGGTCAAAAGGAAAAAGTCAAAGTCCCTTTGCAGCACTGCTTTAAAAATCTCAGACGGTAAAAATTAGGATTTAAGGAAGATAAACTTGGTAGAAAAGTCTGAAAAAACATTTAAAGCTTAATTTCATGTAAACTTTCTAACATCTGCTGTGATCATCAGAGGCAAAATTCCCAAAGTGAGGGTTGCTTCCCCTAGGGGGGCCTGGTAGAAAGTAATTGGTAAAAATAAAATTACCCATTTTGAGATGTAGTTAAAAAAAAAAACCTAGATAGCTGTTAAACTGTAAAATAAGCAGTTAAACTTAAAAGAATCTTTAAAAGTAGTCTTATTCTGATTATAATGAGACTGTAGTTTGTTTCCATTGCAACGTATAATAATAATTACTAATTAAAATAATTTACTTCTGATGACTTTTATCTGTTCAACAGTTTTTGGGCAGGCTGAGGTAACTAAGGGAGGTATAAAAAACAACAAATTAACCAAACAGGGGCCCAACAACAACTGCTCTAGAGAAACTCTGGATCCTATCTGGCCTCCTTAAACTCAGAGCAGGCTGCAGAGATAAAGACGAGTTAGATGTAAATAACATCAATTTGTTCCAGTTAGCAGTTTGGATGCAGGTTTTCAGAAGCATCCATTAGAAAGCGAAGCAGAAACGCCTTCTTTATAGAATGACTTCTGCTCTTCTTCTGATCTGCAGGCACAACTACAAGGATTACTCGATGGAGTCCCGCACACTGTTCCGGGTCCACGCTGCTCTGGCCAAACTGAAAGCGGACCCTGGAGAAGAGGACAGCCAGTAACAGAACATTTCTGCTCTCCTCACTATGGACACTTTGAACTTGTGTGTATCTACAGTAAACCTGACGTTTAAATGCTACTCAGGCTCCATTCTTGGAGGTATTGTTTGTGCCATCGCTGTGCCGTCCTGACAGAGAGGAACGCTCCTCAGAAAGCAGCGCAGCTGAGGGACTGTTAACTACCTTACACAGGTGAAAACACACCTGATGTTTATACACATTATTATATTTATAGATGTTTTATGGTTTACATTAACAATGAATCTTCACTAATCAACTTAATGTAGGAAAATCAAACATAATGTGAGATTGATTTAAATCTATGGTTGTACTTTATTCTACTTTCTTTGTGGTCGAGGGCGATCATCCTGTACCGTCAGTCTCTTTAATAAAAGGAATCTGGTAAAAGGTTTTATTCTCCTGCCAAAGCATAAAGAATCCAGGCTGTGATGCATTGTGGGCAATGGGGTTTTAACCCAACTCAGAGCAAATGTTTTCATACATGTGCAACTTTTGTGCATCAGCGCCCCCTTTATTCTGATAGCCTTCAATAAAATCCACAGCAGCTAATTGGTTAGCAGAGTCCATGTGTGGAACTTAATCCTGGAGTTTTGTGAAAATTGCAGAAGTTTGTTACAGAATAAAACAGCACCATGAGTATGGAGTGAATTTTGTTCCTTTATTTTTGCAAGCAAACATGTTTTACAAATAGGAATTTTCAAAAACACATTTTGTGAATTGAAATTTGAAAAAAATATATAACCCAGAAATAAGGGGTTTATTAACAATTTATTCAAAAATAGAGAGAAACTTTGCTGTTTAAATTTGCATGTTTTGTGTTTTCAAAATTCAAATTCTTTTTACAGAAATATAAAATATACGAGAATTAAAGACATTTACACTGGAACTGTCATATAATGATCCACTCTGACAGATAATGTATAAATCCACAGACGCCATCTTTCTAGAAACAAACACAGAATTTACTTTGCTGTCATGGGAAAGTTTTTTGGTATAAACAATGGCTGGTTTTTACATATATTCACGCATTATGAAATGATTAGTGGCAGTTACAGTGTAACAGTTTTTAACACAATATTTTTTACAGGATTCTGTCAAAAAGGTAAATGAATGGTGCAGAGAATGTGTTCACATGGTTTTTGGAGTTCCCACAGTCCATGAATGCAACATGGAAACCGACGTCTCCTCAGCGCTGCTGCAAACTGTCAATCACATTTCCCCCTCCCACTTCCATCAGATTGGGGTTCAAATCTGAATGTGAAAAAAACTGATTTGAAAGTGTAAAAAAAATGTAATCCTGAAACAGGAAAAAAGAGTTTGAAACAAAAAAAAAACAGCAACTGACAGAAGGGATTTGAATCTGAAAATCTAAAACTGCAATAAAAAAAAAGAAATAAAAAAAAGGAAAAGTGTAATTAAAATACTAAACTGAATCGACACAACATTACGAGAATAAAGTCATAATATTACGAGAATGAAGTCCTCATACAACAGTTACAAAAAGAAAGCTTTGAGCTCTGACCAGCAGATGACGGCCGACCAGCTCCACCAATCAGCAACCTGAGTCCACTTTGACCTTACTGCCCAATGCTGCTGCTAAAAGATTTCCTTATTTTGTCAAACCAGAGCCAAAGTATAACTTCACATGATGCTCAACATTTCTCATTTTAGGGAAGAAAGTGCTTCTTGTAAGAGCTGTCATAACATACAACTTGTTTCTCGTAATTGTACGACTTTATTCTTGAAATAGAAGAAGAAAAAAATCTGTAGTCTGGCAAAAATACTCCGTAAAAAAAGATATATATTTTAAGAAATTGTTTTACAGATTTTATATTTTCCTCTTTTTTTTGTTACAGTTTTGTTTTTCAGATACATTTTCACCAATCACATTCTTTTCTAATTGAATTTTACAGATCAAATTATCTTAACTCTAAGTCCGATTAAAAACGCTCGCACTTGAGGCTCACATTGATCTATAATATATAGTTGCATGCAGACCAATACAAATGTGTCTTTGCTTCTCACTCCAGAGGAATGCCCGCCCCCTGAGGTAAAGAAAAAAATAAAAATGCACTTTGAAAAGAATTCATAAAATTTAACCTAGAAAAATAAGTCTGAAAAAAATGTAAATAACAAATCTGTTAAATGTTTTTTTTTTTTTTTATAAAATACATATCTGAAAAAAATTAAAAATAAAACAATCTGAGAAAACAGCAAGGTGACTCCCTTTTTTTTAATAAAAAAAAATTCAGTGTTACTTCTTGATTAAAATTTTTTGATATTTTAATTTTTAAAAATAATTCTTGCTTTCAACAATAATGGAACAAAGTTAATTCCATACAGGAGAACCAACAAACACAGTGGAACGGTAAGGGAGAAAGTTCTGGAAATGTTTTTAAAAAATCGCACAACTACCAACCTAACAGGCAAAAAGTAGAATCTGATAGGAGACCCATGAGGTGAGAAAATCAGTTGGCAGGACAGTTACACATCATGAGCTCAGGAAATTTTGACTTTAAGTAGAAAGATTCAAAATCGGTCCTGCAAACTCCTGCTTGTATTTAGCAAAGATGTGGACCAAGGTTTTCTAATCTGATGAGAAACATGTCGTTCCAAACACACCAGTCACATGGGACTGAAAGAATCATTCTGTACTGAAGAATCCTAGTTTCTTCACCAGGAAAACTGCAACTTTCTAAAAATAAGTGTATTTACTCTAATTTGAGCAGGTAAACGAGATGATCTGCCAATGGAATGAACACGATAAACAGTGGAAATATCGAAACTAAATGAGTCATTTTTTTTCTGAAATTAGTGCATTTTTTCTTGAATTGAGGAGGGAAGTGAGACACTTTGCCAATGGAACAAGACAATTTACATTTAAAATAAGAAAAAACAAATGCATTGTATTATTTCAAGTGCATATTATCTAATTACCTTATTTTAGGAATAAAAATTATCATTCCAAAGGCAAATTATCTTATTTAACTGCCCAAATTAAGGGTAAATGCACCTAATTTAGGATTTTTTCTTTAGTTAGTTTTAGATCGTTTTTGCAATGTAAATTATGCATTTAAAATGAGATGTTGGTTTTAATTTTAAACATAAATTATCTTGTCTCCCTTATCTGCCCAAAACAAGAGAATACACTTATTAAAAAAAAAAAAAAAAAGAAACTGACTGGCTTATAAACTGACAGGCTCATCCAGCAGCACCAGAGCCACTGATGCAAACTACCGGTTAGTTTGGATCAAAGCTTGTTCATGATAAGCAGTGGCCTAGTCAAAGCCCACATCTGAACCCTGCAAAAAAATTCTTTTTTTTCCTTTAAATAATTATTTAACCTTAACCGTTAGCTGGGGTACAAGAACTTTCCCAATAGAATAAAATAATTTGTGTTCAAAATAAGAAAAAAACTAAATTATTTTAAGTGCATAATATCTAATTAATTGGAGTAAACATATTCATTCTGTGGGGAGATGATCGGTTTTACCTGGTAAGTTGAAGGGAAACTAGACTAAATGTAAGCCTTCTTTTAAAAGTATTTTTAGATCAGTTTTTGTAAGAATCAGAGGCAACAGTAGAAAATTAGTTTCCATGAATTTCGACCCAATCTCAGGGGGAGTTACTTTGTGGAGAAAATGGAACAAATCCAGTCTGTAGATCAGCAAAGCTGAGAGATCTTCCCCAAACACCTGCAGCTCTTATTACAATGAACATTGTTTCTATCAAGTATGACTCATGCATCAATTTTCTAACTGTTTACAAATTGAAAACCAAATATTTTCCTTCCACTTAACAGCAACATTGCTTTAATCTATCCCACTAAATCAGCAGAAAATACTCTGAAGGTTTCAAACTACTTTAACTTTAATGCATTTTTTACTTTAAAACTTAGCAAAGACTTTCAGTATAAATTTGCTTCCCATTTTTCTTATTTGGGTTTATTTTATTCAAAGTTTTAGCTTTCTGATTATTTTCTAGTAATTGGGAGTGAAGTTCAGGATGATATCAGATGAGTTACCTTGTGTCTTTTTCTTCATTTAAAAGGATTTCAAACAAACAGTTGGTTTTTGAAGTATTTATTTAATTCAAACGTCTGTCAGAAGAAGAATATGGTAAAAATATCTGAAAACAAAGAAAAAAATTATTTTCCAGGGTTAATGGAAAAGTCTGAGTTATTTAATTCAGCCTGATGTCGGCTAATAGAACTCCTACTGTCTGATCCTCAGGGTCATAAAGTCCAGTTTGCAGAACAATAAATACAATTAGAGCAACAGCACCAAATGTTTAAAGTTTATTGCATATATGCATGTTGTAATTTTTTAACATCTGCTGTGGAAACGTGGCGCCGCGTTGCTCAGCAATATCTGAGTCCATGACTATGACTGGCCAGCAGGGGGAGCTGCTCCCTGCTCCTCCTTCAGCCTGCGCTTCAGCAGTTTCCTCTTCTTCTTCTCCTCCTTCTCTATCTCTGCCACCATCTCCAGGAACTTGGGGCTGCGGGGGTCCACGTTGTAACCGAAGCGCTCCCTCGCCTCGGCCAGCAGCTTCGCTTTTCGAGCCTTTTCCTCCTTCAGCTTCTGTTTGGTCTCGCGCTTTTCTCGCCGCCAGTCTTCGATCATCTTGGGCATCTTGGACATGTTCGCCGCTATGAGTCTTTCTCTGTGGAGAAAAGAAAGAAAACAGTTGGTGCTGCTCAGTAAAAGTGGAATTTAGGAACAGTTTTCTACTATTTTCCATCACAACAAGGATACAATCTGATTAAATTACATTAGATTTTCCTCTGAATGACAACTTTGTGTAACATCCACCTCATTTTGAAGTAATTCTCGCCTATTTTGCATTCCTAAATGGAAAAGGAAATAACTTAGAAACTGTAAGCCAAATTTACATGTGATACATCATTTGAAAGCTAACAAGTTTTAGTTTCTGAATATAAAAATGGGGTGAGTAAAACACAGCCCAAGCTGCATCAGTTCAAACATGACTGAAAGTGTTTTTTTTTATTCTCGAACATAATAGTTCTTTTTTGAACAGCGGTAATAAAGAAATGCCTGAGGTAAGAGCAGGTCTCATTTTATTACATTTGTTCTACATCATGTCAACCACAAATGCACAAAATCTCTAGCTACAGCAGTTCCAGAGCTGTTGGGCTTTGAACCGTTGGTGTCACCAGGGTCTCCAAATTGTACCAAATTATTTTTGCTCGACTATTTGACCCATAGAATAAGACTGAAGCATTTTGATGGCCACAACACATTAATGAAGCAAGTATTTTCCACTCTGTTACATTTTGTTATATTCACTGATATTATGCCTGTGAGGCATAATATCGCTCCACTCGGTGCGTCACTGGCTGACAGGCAAGGAGCGCTTATGAGACTTCAGCGAATGTCCCAGACTCAAATCGCATCATACTAAGATAAGGACACTATTGTGTTGTAGGTAAGAAAATGATGTAAAGAACCGTACATAACATCGCGGGCTAACAACAGAGGAAATAAGTATTAGGAAGTAAATATTAGCAAGATGCTAAGCAATAGCTATGACCAGTCAACTTTTCTGACACCAAAAACCGGATGTTAAGTGGTGATTTTCTCATAATGGAATGTTTTTATTACAAATATGCTGGATTACTTTTAATCTGTGGACAAATGGAGTATAAACAATTGAAGATTGGATTTATAAAACGGCTTCTGGATGCCGTCAAAGGTATGTAGCTGTGGCTGCTTAGTCATGTTTACATTTTGACATGCTACTATATCTGTGTCCATAAAATGAACTAGGTGGCTAATTGTGGAGAATCTAAGCTTTCCAACGGTGTCTAACATGTCTATATTCGTAAACATTTTGTGTAATTTTCATGTGCATTCATTTTGAAACGGGTCGCTGGCGATGCGGTGGGTTTGGAGAGGTTAATAACTACAGAGTTTTTTTTGTTTTTTTAATTCACAAACTAACTTCTATTAATCAGTGCATTTTTCTTCTGTGGTCAAAATAATATTTCTTTTATATGCCCACTTTCCACTAATTCATTGCCGTCATAACTTCAGTTTGTTTATATGGCATCAATTAACAACACATTTTATCTTAATGCATTTTACAGGCGATTCAACCAGCATCATTTTTTATTTAATGAGAAGCAGCTAATTGAAACGAAGTCATTGGCTTTGCAGGATTCTCTCTTCCTGGATAGGCATGTGGTGACAGTAGATATTTCCTTGCATTGTGTCGTTGACTCTGCAGCAATCCCTTTCAATGAGAATGCATGCAGATACAGTATAGAGGAAAAACTCCTTTTTAACAGGAAGAAATGTCAAGCAGGGCTGTACAGCGGTGCTGTTTGCAGCAGTGTTGCCTTGCAGCAAGAAGGTTCTGGGTTGAATTCCCGGCTGAAGATCTTTCTGCATGTTCTCCCTGTGCATGCATGAGTTCTCTCCGGGTACCCCTGCTTCCTCCCACAGTCCAAGTACATGACTGTTGTGTTAACTGTCGTCTCCTAACTGTCCTAGTGTGAGTATGTGTGCATTGTTGTGTGTTTCTGTTTTTTGTTTTTTTTGCCAGTTGTAGAGGAAACGTCATTAATCGACAACTTCCTGTTTAACTAGTGTCTCTTTATGATGTGACTTAAAGCCCACGTCTGGCCACAATTAAAAAAAAGAAAACATGCAATATAAGTGAGACAGATCAATATTGAACTTAATTCAGGAAACGGCTTACGTTAAAAAAGCAAAGGGGATTGCTGCTTCCCGCTTTGGGTTCATTACTGAAGCAAACAGCAAATATTAATTCATCAGATTCTTAACTTTACTAAAATCAAGAAAAAAACTCTGTAATAATTTTCCTCTGAAAAATGGTTTCACTTTTTTGCCATAAAGTTGCACTTTGGGGTTGGCTGACCGGAGCCCCTCCTTCCATCTTTGCTGCCCCCTAGTGGCTTTTCTTTCAACGATAACACAGTTCCTCTTAAACTGTCAAATGTCTTTGATGCTCTTTATGAACATAAAATAATGCAATAAAATAATGTTTACTGAGGAATGAAGAACACCATCTATCAATCTAACCTCATCTGTCTTAGCTGACTGTGTACTCCTTAAATACGCTGCTGAATATGTCCACATTATAAGAATAGACCTTATTTATCATGTCCTTTATTATTTCTGGTACCTCTGTGTTCTAGTTAAAGAAACTCATTATTTTGTTTAGTTTTGCATGCTAGACTGGAATGTTTTAATACTGGACTACAAATGATTGGCACTTTGTGATTAATGAAGCTGAACTGGAATAATCAACCCAGTGATGTATGGTGGTGGCAGGATCATGCTGTGGGAGCTCTTTACTTTAGTATGAACAGGTTAGCAGAATCTAAATTGTCTCCGATAAACAATGAAACAGTCAGGTTGGTGGTTAATCAACATTAAGAAAGATCCAGCATGTCTTCCTATAAGGTCCAAAATAGTGAATCTGTTCTTACAGAAACTGCATAATTATCTGCATTACATGATAAGAATATCATGTTAATAATAAGTTAATAATAAGTTTAGAGATTTTTTTATTTTGAGAATAAAGTGTTAACATTACGAGAATAAAGTTGCAATATTACGAGACTGAAGTCATCATACAACAACCCGTTTCAGAAAGAAAGCTTGGAGCTCCGACCAGCAGATGACGGCCGATCAGCTCCACCAATCAGCAACTTTGACCTACTGCCCAATTTGATCTGGTGATCTTATTTGTCAAACCAGAGCCAAAGTATAACTTCACATGATGCTCAACATTTCTAATTTTAGGGAAGAAAGTGCTTCTTGTAAGAATTCTCGTAATTTTAGGACTTTATTCTCGTAATTTTATAACTATTCTGGTTGTGACTTTTTTCTCGTAATATAACGACTTTATTCTTGTAAGTGTACGACTTTATTCTCGTACTATTATGACTTTATTCTCGTGATTTTATTACTTTATTCTTGTAATGTTGCGACTTTATTCTCGCAATTTTACGACTTTATTTTCATAATATTAGAAATTTATTCTCGTAATGTTACGACTTTGTTCTTCTAATTTTATGACTTTATTCTCTTAATTTTGAATATTGTTGTAACTCTTTTCACGTAACGACTTTATTCTCATACTATTAAAACTTTATTCTCATAATATTAAGACTTTATTCTCTTAATATTACGACATTTTATTCTCGTAATGTTGCGACTTTATTCTCGCAATTTTACGACGTTATTCTCCTAATATTACAACTTTATTCTCGTAATGTTACAACTTTATTCTCTTAATATTACAACTGTATTCTCATAATATTACGACTTTATTCTCATAATATTACGACATTTTATTTTCGAAATAAAGGAAAAACATCTCTAGCCTGGCCCTGGTCGTATATTCTAGCTATACTCCCATTTTAAATAGCAACATGAGGACAGATTGACTCACTTTGCGCGCCTCCTCTCTGCTTCCTCCTTCTCCTTGGCCTCTATGTTCTTCAGCATCACCTCTAAAGGAGGGTTCCACTCCTTCTCCTCCTCTATCTTTTCCTGCAGCTCCTTCTCTGAAGGCCACAGAGACGCGGGTTCGATGCCGGAGGCTGAACCGTAGCGGCCGAACAGCTTCCTGTCATAGCGAGCCGTCTTCTGCCACTCAGGGGTCTTTTCGTTCTCCTTGTCGGGGATGTAGGGGTCCCGCAGGTTGAGCTTCAGCGGTTTGGGGTTATAACATCTAGTCTGTAGCATAACGCCATGATGACAGGCCACTGGAAGAACTGCTTTGGACAGAGAAATGCCTTTAAAAGTCCCACATAACGCTGCTGCCCTCTGCACCAGCATGGAGGCCGCCATGTTTGCTCTTCTTCTCTCTCCAGGCGGTTGTATTCAGTTTATGCTGTTGTGTCGCCGCCTGCTGGACTGGATCAGAACTGCGCAAACGACTTCTTTCTTCTTAGTGAAGAAGAAAAAAAAAAACCTTCTATCACATTAGGAAAAAATATCTAACTACAACATCCTACTTATTAGAAACGTTTCTGTCATTTCCGGCGCTGCTTTTTATTAAATGATAAACATTAATCTCTCCTCCTGTTTTTTATTTCTGCTAGTGTATTCAGGCCAGTGGTGGTTCTAGACCAAATGTACCAGGGGGCCAGGAGGGGCCCAGCATCTTTTGATTCAGGAACAGAAAAACATGAAATAAAAAACAGGAGGAGAGATTAATGTTTATCATTTAATAAAAAGCAGCGCCGGAAATGACAGAAACGTTTCTAATAAGTAGGATGTT